TGGTGAATCGGCGATTCACTGTACAGAATCGTCCGGTTCTCTCTAGAACCGGATGATTTTCGATTTTTTAGGCGATCCGATCCCTTTTTCACGATTTTCGAATCGAACCGGGCGAGTCCGGTTCGACTTGGCGTTTTTTAAAACACTGGTTCAATCTATACTATTTCTTAAGCTTTACATTTTATAATTAGAGATGAAAATATATTTTAAGGCTATCACAAAGATTTTTAGCATTGAAACAATACCATTTGATAGTATGTTTTATTTTGATTATTTAGAGCCTCAACTTTATATAAACTGCACCCTATTGAGAAATAGCCCAACAATTTAAGAGGAAAAATAGTCTTGATAAGCGTGCAACACTATCAAAATAAGTAAAACCTTACCTCATGACTCATAAAAAATTGCAATTCAAGCTTTAAAAAACCTCGATTATCTCGGTTTGAACATTATGATTGTGAAAAAAAATTAAGATTTCAAGGACTAAAAATAACATATATTATAATAAATTATTTAGACCGTCCATTTCTCTCAAAAACTAAATATTCATAAATTATTCATAAATTCGCAAGATCTGTGCACTTCTTAAGTTTCAAATTTTATTCTTGGCCTTGAAAATTGATTTTGGAGCATCGTGAATATTTAGGTTGCTAAAAGTGACTTATTTTATTTTTCATAGAGCCTAGGCTTTATTGAAACTTCATCCTTTTCAAAGAGACATTAGGCTCTGCTACTCTCTTTCTACCTTATTTTCTCTTATATGTGATTTTGAACAGAGAATTGGAAGACTGGATTCCTCTCTCTAGCCATTTAATCATGGAGGATGGCGTGAGCAAGCTTCTCCCCCTCTACGGTAGCTCTCTTTGATACCTTTCATGAACCCCAGGTGAGAATCAAAGAACCCAACACTGGCATTTCTAAAATGTACTGTAATCTCTCTAAAAGTCACACCTTTCCTCTGATATTTAGGGTTTCGAGAGGACCCAAATCCTCAATTCCTCAAAGAAGCTCCTTTCTTAACATTTCTCGGCTGTTCTCAAATGGATTTTCTTCAAAAACCCTAGAAAAAGTCTCCAGAGCCGAGCCCAGAGAGACCCTTTCATGGATTGAGCATCACGAGAACACTAGAAACCATGAAACAGAAAAACCTATGGTCTGTAAAGCCGGCCATTACTCTTGGAAAGATGCAGAAAATAACTATTTTTCAAAAAATGGTAAGAACCCATCTAAAGACAGTGCTAGAACTAGGTCTAGATTCATAAATAGTGAGGAAAACAAAAAAACTGATTATACGAAACGGGCTAGAATCAATGAAGCAGGAGAGAGAAAAGGAGAAGCTAGTCATAGCTCTTGGGAGGATGCAGCAAACAATTATTTCACGAAAAATGTTGAAGGCCCTGAAACAAAAATGGCTAGAACTAAACCCGGATTCATGGGTAGTAGGAAAAATAGCAGAACTGGTTGTATGAAAAGTGTCAGAACTGAAGAAGAAGAAGATATTGATGAAGAAGAATCGGAAGAAGAAGAAGATGCAGAAGAAGAATATAAAGAAGAAGAAGGAGATGGTGTTGAAAGAGTTGAAGATCCAAGATGGGTTAAAATCAAAGATAGATATAAGAGGACTATAGATAAGGAATGTGGGTTTGAAAGGCTAGAGGTTTCTAGATGGAAGAGAGAGGAAAATTGGGGCAAGAAAATGTGGAAAGAGGTCACCAATTCATCCCCACCAAAGCTAATTGGAGAAGGGGTTTATGGGATAGGCCCGGTCCTTGCCGCAATCTCTGTTGGACGAAGGGATTTCTATACTTTATATGTTCAAGAAGGCTTAGACATCAGTAGTAGTAACAAGAAGAATAAGGATAAAAAGGGAATAGAGAAAGTACTGAAAATTGCAGAGAGAATATCGCTAACAGTGAAAGAAGCTTCAAAGCATGACCTCAACATGATTGTCGACAATAGGCCTCATCAGGGTCTTGTTTTGGATGCCTCTCCATTGGAGATGGTTGGTACAAGAGAAATGGAGCCTGTTTCAATCAATGGGAATAATGGGGTTTTCTGGGTGGCTTTAGATGAGGTTACTGATCCTCAAAACTTGGGGGCTATAATTCGGTCTGCATATTTTTTTGGGGCAGCAGGTGTGGTGCTTTGTGCTAAGAATTCAGCGCCTTTGAGTGGAGTTGTGAGCAAAGCAAGTGCTGGTTCATTGGAAATCATTGAATTAAGGTCTTGCAAGAACATGATGCAATTCCTGACATCTTCAGTAGAAAATGGGTGGCGAGTTCTTGGAGGTTCTCTCTCTAAAAATGCGGTTCCTTTGAATGAGGTTGAAGCAGGTGAACCAACGATTCTGGTTTTGGGTAGTGAGGGAAAAGGGTTGAGACCTTTGGTGGAAAGATCTTGTACACAATTGATTAGAATAGGAGGAAATATTCACAGTGGTGTATTTAACGATGAAGATGAAGGTGATGGAGGAGTGACAATGGAGCAAGCGTGTGGAGAGAGAATGGATCAGGGGGGTTACACCAAAGAACTTCAGTCCTTCCTTGCTGTGGAGAGCTTGAATGTGAGTGTAGCGGCAGGTGTGCTTATGTACCATTTGACTGCTAATTCTAGTCAGGCTTTAGTATCTGACCAGAAGGTATAATATTTCATTTTGGACTGTTTTGTGAGTGCAACAATTTTCAGTTTCTTTGCAATTTTACTTCTTTCTTCAATAGGATTTTCGTCTAACTGATAAATGGATGTTAGATGCATGGGGGAGTTTATTCTCCCTGAAATTCCATGTCACTGTCTCTATCTATGGCAAATTGGTTCTTTTAATTGGGTGAGCAAGACTGTTGTGTCCTTGTTGCCTTGGAGGAAAAACTATGGTGAGGATATGAACATCTCTCTCTCTCGTTTTTATTTTAGTAGTTCACCTTCCATAACTGAAAATTGGCAAGTGATGTAGTCACAGAATGAATGCTTGGTGGTCACTATTAATCATTCATGCCTATTCTTCCATATGGAAACTATTCCTAAACCTCTCCAAGTCTTGAGGTCAGAGAAGGCTAAGACGTTGGGATTCGTAGATGATTATGTTTTGAACTTCCCCTCGTGGTAATCTATATGTGCATTTGTAATTTTTATCATTGTGTATACTGTATGATAAAATATCAATGTGTATACTGTATTTGTAATTTTTATACTGTATGATAAAATATCAATGTATATACTGTATGATAAAATATCAATGTGTAATTTTTATACTGTATGATAAAATATCAATGTGCATACTGTATGATAAAATATCAATGATAAAATATCAATGTGTAATTTTTATCAATGTGTTTACTGTATGATAAAATATCAAATGTGTAATTTTTATCATTGTGTATACTGTATGATAAAATATCATTGTGTATACTGTATGATAAAATATCAAATGAGAGGTTGCAAAGAAACCATATAAGCATGACATGAAATATAAAATAGCTTAGAGTGTAAAGGTAAGAAGTTTGAGTATTAACTCTGTTAAGGACATTCTCAAGAATGTAGAAGCTAAACTAATACATGGTGCTCTTTGTCCATGTCACTTTCTAAAGTCTATCGCTTAGAATAGTAACATTTCAAACTAGAGGCTGCCTAACCTTGGCTAAGTATAAGTATTGGGTCACCCGATCATCCATATCAGATCTATTCTAAGGTTTTATGTCCCCCGTAGCCAGCTGCGGCCCTTTTCCTTTGGCATGTAGCAGTCACAGCTACCCTGTGAGACATTTGGAATTGAGGGTACCTAAGAATGTCGAGGACAAATAGCACTCAGGAAGCTCCTTTTGGACATCGTCAAGGCTAAAGTAATTTTTTGGGCCAAACACTCAAAATGGTTCAAGCTTCAAACTACCACGGATTTGTCCAAAATTGGCAAGCCCTATTGGACTGTATACCCACCCAAATCTCTCGGTCCTTGCTGTGGTGATCCCGGAGCAGGGATACATCAAGATACTTTGATGGTTGCTCCCTCGGCAACCCGCGTCCATTTGGTTTTGGTGGTCTCTTTAGGGATTTTCCTTGGTCTTTCTGATTTCATTCCTGACTTTCTCTCATTCTTTGAGGAATTCCACTCTAGAAGAATCATCCACAAATTCATGAATGCAACTTTTATTGCCCTCACCCCCCAAATTGAAGGTGTTAAAGAACTCAAGACTTCAGACCGATAAGTCTGATCAGCAAGACAACAACTCCAACAAGATCCTCTCCAAAGACCTAGCCTGAAGACTCGGAGAGGTACTCGGATGAGTCTTCTCCCCACATCAGGGGGATTTCATCAAAGATCGCCAAATCCTTGACGGAGCCTTGGCGGCCCATGGATGCATCCACTCTAGACACCTTTCCAAGGTGCCGGTGGATGCATCCACTCATCAATGGTTTTTTTAATGTGTTAACCTTTAATTGAAGAGAAGATAAGTACAAGACCTTGGCAATCCACAAAAGGAAGGATGCTCAAGGAGAAAGCCAAAAAACGGAATCAAAATCCTCTTTTACGAGGTTACAGTGAGTCACAGCAACCTAGAAAAACTGGTCAATCCGACAAAAAGCCAAATAATTATAAACCAAAAGTCCAAAACAAGTGCTAATCAATTGCCATTGCTACTGCTTCTATGGCTAAGACGTCAGCTTCTTGGTTTCCTTCCATCCAAGTATGCATCCACACGACGGATATATTCCTGCAAAGGAATTCAATCTCGTCAAACAAATGTGCTAACTGCCAAGGAGAAGAGGAGGAGGGGAGATTCTGCGCCCAAGAAATAGTATTCTTGGAATCTCCCTCGATGATGAGAGAGTGCAGTTGGAGTGGGAGTGCAAGTTTGAGGCCTTCCAAGAGTGCCAACACTTCAGCCTCCACAGAGTTTGCATGGCCAATGTGTTTGGAAGCAGTTTCCACAGTAGAACCGAGGTGGTCTCTGAGGATTGCTCCAATTCCTGAGGGGCCGGGATTTCCTAGAAAGCAGCCATCAAAGTTGAGTTTGAGCTGTCCCTGGGGTGGAGGTTTCCATCTTGAGGCACACGCAGGCGTGTGCGATGGAATTGAAGGACTGAGCTCCAATCCTGGCTGAAAGCCGAAGAGGAGACTCCTTTGAAGTAATGGTGGTTGGTTGCCCAAAAATAATGGTGGACTTGAGCTTGTTGAAAACTTTGGGCCAAAGTGAGAAATCCCCATGGAAGATTCTGTTGTTACGCTCGATCCAAAGGCCCACAAAGCAGCAGCCACCGTCAATTTCCAAAGGAGGATTCCCTCTTTATTGCAGGGGAAAGGTTGTACCGAAGAAAGAATGGATGTCACCTCTGCCGGTAACACCCCACTGTACATTAAAGAGTCTTAGAATTGCTCCCCAAAGGTTGTAAGCATATGGACAGTGCAGCAGAAGATGGTTATTGGTCTCTTCTACTGAAAGACACATCACGCACTGATTAGGAATTGGGATACCTCTTCTTAGACAAGGAGACTCCCTTTCCCCTTTTCCTCTTTGCCACAGTTGGTGAAGTCCTTAGCAAGTCCATAGCTAGGCTATACCAGCACGGTCTAATTGATGGCTTCAAGATTGGGAATCAAGATTCCACCATATCCCACCTTCAATGTGCCGACGATATCCTACTCTTTTGTGGTGCTACCTACCAACAAGTCGACAACTTGCTCCTGTTCCTCAATTGTTTCGAGCTAGCCGCTGGTTTCAGAGTGAACATGGCCAAATCCAAGATGACTGGGGTGTCATCCGATGGCCAAACAACAAGCAACTTGCCCAATCGTTGGGGTTGTGATGTCAAAACTTTACCTTCCACCTATTTGGGCCCTACCCCTTAGCATTGTTCAGCCCAAGCAGCGGCAATGGAGTCACATCATAGACAAATTCTACAAAAAGCTTTCCCTGTTGGAAGGGGTGATTCGTCTCCTTTGCTAGTAATCAAAGCAACCCTCTCCAATGTCCCCATCTTCAGTGGTGGCACTTCACCACTCAGGACAACCGCCTATGGCAATACATCTTCCGCCATAAATATCGCATCCACCCCTCTGACTGATTGCCATGCAGAGCAGGCAGCCATTCCTTAGGAGCTTGGAGATCTATCCTTCGTAGCCTGACCCTCTTCAAAGAGAACATAGGATTCTGGTCACAGACTGGTAACCGAGTCAAGTTCTAAGACCTCTGGATAGGCAATACCTCTCTGCAGGGGTGGTTCTCTAACCTATTATTCCTCGCCCAAAATTGCGAGGGGCTCAGTCGCTGATGATTTTGACACCTTGGGCTCCTCTAGAATTTGGAACCCCAACTTTAGGAGGCCCCTTGCGGACAATGAGTTAGACGACTGCACTGTCCTCCCACCCTCAAATCTATTTTTCTCCCCACCCAGGTTGGGAGCAACTCTTCCTACCTCACCTTCATTCATCACCTCGAGGACCTGGTTCCCTTTCATTCCCCCTAAAATTCAAGTCTTCTACTAGATTGTCCTAGTTGAAAGGGCATTAACTGTCGACCAGCTCCAGAAAATGGGCGCACCCATTCTGAACAGATGTGTGATGTGTACAACGGGGAAAGAGACGAATGTCCACCTCTTCATTCACTGCAAGGTTTCATTCACTGCAAGGTGGCAAGGGATCTCTATGGGGACCTCCTGCCACTCTGGGTGACCCCGAGGACCGTTCCCGAACTTTTAAGCTCCTTGTATCCCCTCCCTTTGGCGAATTCAGGAATCCTTCTCTGGCGGCAGTCCATAGCTGACATAATGTGGGTTATATGGATTGAGCTGAACAACAGGACGTTCCGAGGAGAATACACCACACTAGACACCTTGAAGAATAGGGTAAAGGAATCTGTCATTTTTTGGGCCAAAAACAAACCAACAATGTATTCAAACACTTCTTCCATATGGACTTTCATCATATCTGGCATACCATGCTGCACCTTAGGCCCACCCGCATCCCTGGTGCCTCCATTTGACGACCTCTCGAACTTGGGCAAGCAAACTTAACTTTAATGGCTGTTCCCTAGTGAACCCAGGCCTCGCTGGGATTGGGGTATTTTTTAGGACCATGAGTGATGGACACTCATCTTCTTTTCAAACTTCATCGGCCACGCAGACTCCAATACTGCTGAGGCCCTGGCCCTCCTAGAAGGCGTCAAGAACTTCAACCCTAGCTGGGGAACGACCTCGGTTGCTGGGTGACTCCAAAAATGTCATTACATGGGCATCAAGCTCCCCGGATTGCCCTTGGAGATCAGCACATCTTTGGCAAGATATTCCACATTTGCAGGGCTATGTACGTCTCGTAGAGGCATACATGGCATGAAGCAAACACAGCTGTAGATGAGCAAGTCAAGTAGACGACCCACCTGGAACCATTTACGCACCGTTTTGAGCTCTTGGTTCCGCTACCTCTTGATGTTTGGGCAATGGATGTATAGCTCTTGTGATTACGTATCTCTTTTGTATAGCACACCCTAAGAGGGTCTTTTATATACTGCACCCGGCCAGTGGGTGGTCATTTTTGGTAACTTGTACACCTTTTTCTTTTAATAGAAAGTTGACCGATTTTCTTTTAAAAAAAAGTGATTTCTCTTTTGGAGGGGATTGAAAGAGTCCCTACGGAGTGGGCTAGGTGTTTGGTTGTCGAGGGTGATTCAAAATGTAATCTTATGGGCGATCGAGGCCTCTGCCTGCCCTTGGTGTCTCCTAAATGTATTTGACCAAAGTTTCAACTTATGCAGGCATATACACATCTCCTTTCATCATAAGGTGTGCGAGGCCAAAAGGAGGAGCCTTTGTGCGAGGCCAAAAGAAGGAGCCTTTTTCGAGCTACCCACACCGAAACCGACCCACTGCTTTGAGCAACTATCCCATATAGCAGACCCCTTTTTGAGCTCTGTTTTAATCCAATGACGCCTATTTTTTTGTTTCCTTCACAGTGTACACTCTCTTTCCTAGATTTTGTTTGCAATTATTGTGAATTGTAAAGAGTCCCCTGTCTGTTTGGACGCCTCATTCCGTCTTTTATTCAGTTTCATACAAGAAATATGCATAGTTAATTATTCTACAAAAAAAAAAAAAAAAAAAATTATAGTTACAAAATTGAAGCAGTCTCTTAAGAACATAGAAACCAAGGGATGATACCACCTCACATGTGCGAGGATATAAGGAAAACATAAAGGAAGATCTTCGAAGTTCTTAAGAGCCAGGAGGTACAAAGGTCACAACTCACAAATCCATTTCTGACAAGGTGCATTGATGGAGAGTGAACACCGACTAAAGACCAATAACCTACAAAATTAAAACTGTGGTTGGGATCGGGCACCTGGATTAATCTTTGAGATATTTGGTTTTAATTAAAATAACTTGTTTGGACTTTTGTAGATCGATGTGATAGGAACATTTTGGGACAAATTTGTTTAAACAATGAGACAAATTGAAGATATTCAAATTCGGGTTTCTAAAAGCTCTCAAAATTTGGCTCCTGATTTCTTCTATTTTGCTTTTTGACCCAACATTTTTTTTAGTTTGGTTCGCTATTGGGCTCAAATATAAAACAATTTAAATTGAGATTTGATTGAGAACAAACTAAGAACGGTGGATTAGGGTTTTGGGCTAGAAAATGTGAAATTCAATTTTTAAAACTCTCTCAAATGAAAATTTTCAACCTAACAGCATATATTTGTTATTTGGAATTGTATACCATGAGGCCATTTATTTTTTTGTACTAGATCAATTATTTTTAACCATTGGATGTGAAATCCAAAAAATAAAAGTACGTTACAACATTCGAAAAATTTTGTTTTTGATTTATGCTTAAACAATGGTACATCCTCAATCACCTGTTTTCAAATTCAACAGTCAACAATGATTGTGACAGCTTTATATCAAAAGTAAATTGTCTCATCGTATACATTTCCATACATTTCCCTGTTATTTTAGGATGGATTGATGACCTGGCTTTATTATTGAAGGGGGTCAACTATTGATCCACAAAAAGTTCAATAACATTGTTTTTCCTGTTTATTTTCATTTAAGGAAAAAAAGGGTTATAGGGCCGACTCTCTTGTGCCTGACTCCAAGTAATGTGATCCTCAAGGTTTGAGTCAACACATATGATTCCGAGTTAGCTCGTTGATTTTTAATCTATGTTTCTTGCTTTTTTGTATCTACTCTGATTTTCTTTAGTATTTGACTGCTGCCCTTAACATCAAAGGGTATGGGAGGTGCAGGTCAACTGTTTGAGACCCAAATGCTAGTATGGGACACAACCAATATCAAAACGGCTTAAAGCAATAGTGGGCTCCCAATTTGAAAGAAACATAGATGCTATAGGGAAGGTTTAGAGTGAAACTTTTTAATGTACGAAAATTTGAAAAGCAGAAAAAAAAACAAGATTTTCAAGCCAAATTTGGAAAACAGCTAAAACAACAAAATTTTCAAGCCAAACATTTTTGCTCTGCATCAACTCTCCGTGCATAATACATGCAGCAGATAAACAATATATTTTAGTCAGAGAAATGTCCCTCATGTAGATGCCCATATGAGAGAGAGAGAATGTGTGTGTGTGTTTTGAGTACAGGTGAACTGCCAATGCATTACAGAAAGGTACATTGCTCTATAGTCCAACCCAAGAGCACCTCTTCGAAGTAGCAAAAGGCAATTTGAGTAGGATGTAGTTACATAAGATGCCCACCTTAAACAATCAAAATAAGGTGCACTTATAAATTCTGCTGGAAGATGTAGTTCAGTTCCAAAAGTTCTTACGACTTGAAAATCTATTTCCACCTCTATGAAATTTAAAGCTACCAAAATGATACAGATCAGATCTATAAACAGTTGAAAATCTTGAAAATGAATAGTCTAGATATTATTTACAAGATGCACCGTCTTTAAAACTTGAAATCCTTTTTTTTATATATATCCATACATTTCAAGGTGGATTATATATCTCAAGGTCGAGATGATCAATTAGAAAGTTTACAAGCATCAAAACAACTTTTTCCAATAGATTTTTATGGTTCACATTACGTGCCCGGTAGATGGTCGGCACCTTCTCATATAAGCAATTTCCATCTAAGAACTGCAACCTAAGAACTAAAGAAAACTACAGTCCTTGGGTCAACAACTGTCCCATTGAAATGGACGTTGGGTAAGAGAACTCCAAGTACTTGACTTTAAGGGCTAAAATGATGTTACCATGCTCTCATATACATCGTAAAGAAACTAAAGAGAGTAAAAACAATATTAAGTTGAGGCGCAGAGTGAAACATCATCAAAGATTCTCTTCTTGTTTCCAATGAATGTCAATATTGTTACAAGCAAAATGAAACCACAAATTCAACACTCTCAGCCTGTTCAAACTCAATCATGACTGATCAACAAAAAAAATAATAATTCAACACTACAAGGCTATAGAAACTCAATCATGTTACAACCAATGTAGCCCCAAATAAATGAAGGGAAAAAAATGCAGCGATGGAGAGGGAGAGAAGAGGAATGGAACCAAAGTCTGAAAAGAATGGATGTTCAAATTACCAGTGTACAATGGCAACAGCCTCTTCTCTTGCTCTATGTCCAAAACATATTGTTGCCACACCATAGGAGAGGATAGAAAAGTTGGTATCAACAAGAATGCTTCGAATACCAATCATGGGAGAGCCTTGTTTTAATCACATCTCTTTAAAGCTTTTAAGAATGTCGCATGCAAGCCAGCATGGGAAGTTTCTGAGCTACCCATCAAACTTTTTGGGTTGATGCCACTGAGCAAAAGTTCTCTTCAACAAGCCCAGGAAAGAGCCTTTGGAAAGGAAACTCCTCCTACCATGTTGATGGTGTCTAGCCCCTGTATCTGTGCCCCTTGTTCCGCTATGCCTTTCAATCTGAGGAAAACATAGGCTTAAGCTTTTACTAAGAGCATAATAAGAGCAGAGTATAAATATCTACTCACGAACGCATCCGCTGTCTTGTGCATGTGATCAGGTTTATTGGGCATCTCTCTCTCTCTCTACACACAAGTATGAGTGCACTGTGTCTATGCAGCCATCTATGAATTCCTCCATTAAACATAAAGGACGCTCTAGGAGTTTCCTGATGGAATTCTCTTGCCTTAGAGCCTCTTTATAATGTGTGTGGGTGAGAGAGAGAGAGAGAGAGAGAAAGTGAGAGCTTGCTCACTAACACAAACCAAGCATCTCATCATGGACCAAAGGTTATAAGTACATCTCCTGATAGCAGAAAATAAACCTCAAGTTCTCTTCATACCACTCAAGAAATAAAGATACCAAAGCCTCAAATTCATACCTTGTGGATCTTTCCATCTCGAAGGTGATATCTAACACCTGACCAATTGATATGTTGTGTGAAGAGCGAGCGTATGGCCGAGATAGGATACAGGAAATTGTCAACGAGCATTGCAATAAACACCTGCCCAAACCAAATTAGTCAGCTCAGGATGTACCAGTTTAGAGAGAGAGAAAGAGAGAGAGATTATGATGATTTATAGAGAAACAATATTTCAAGGAGATTAGAAAGGTGAATGTACTAACAAGACCCCAGTTGTATGAATCCAGCAAAACTGGTGGCTCCTCTGGTGATAACAGATTGCATAATTCGATCTCTACCTTTGTCAGATTCCACATGGAAATGAGTTCCATGATTGTGCATGTAGCCAAGAAGCCTACAAACCGCAAACCTGTATGAAGAATAGATGCACATCAATAATTAGTTACTGCAAGGATGTATAAACATGGCCACACAACAGTGAGACAGTTTCATTATTTACTGATAACTCTCTCACTTATGTTCTCATGAAGGAGCTAATGCCTTTCAATGACTGCAAGTATGTATAAACATGGCCACAGACAGTGAGACAGTGTCATTATTTACTGAT